CGGTGAAAGCAGGGACCTATGGAAAACCGGGTGTATTTTCATGCTATCAGGCAACCTGAGCTTAAATGCCACGGGATTAACTTGCTGTGTTACCTCAAAAGGTCCCAGCCGTCTGGGCTGCAACTTCTTGCACCCCCCTTTGAAAGGTAGCCCTTGGGTGGACAACCACACCCGGTCCCCCACCCGTATGGTCTCCCCTTCCCTGCGGTGCTTGTCTGCCTGCCTCTTGTAAGTTTCCTTGGCCCGCTCCAAGTTCATCTTAAGTTGCTGGTGTAGGGCCTCCATTTCTTCCACAAACTGCTCTGCGGCGGGTACGCTCCAGCTTTCCTCCCCACTCCCGGGAAGGCCCTGGGATGACACCCATGGTTGGCCATGAATGGGCTCATTCCCGTGGACACGTGTTCCGCGTTGTTGTACGCGAATTCAGCCAGCGCTAGTTTTTCTACCCAATCGTTCTGCCTCTCGCTGACATAGCAGCGTAGGTATTGCTGGAGTATACTGTTCGCTCTTTCTGCTTGCCCGTTGGTCTCTGGGTGTCTCGCCGTCGAGAAACCCACCTCCACCTGCAGTAAGCTCATGAGTTTCCTCCAGAACCGGGAAGTAAATTGTTTTCCGCGGTCGGAGATAACCCTCAAGGGGGCGCCATGCAGCCGGAATATGTGCTCCACAAACAACCGGGCTGTTTCCTCTGCCGTTACAGCATGTGAGCAAGCTATAAAATGGCACATTTTTGTCAGTAGGTCGACCACTACCATGACTGCTGTCTTTCCCCGGGACTTGGGCAAATCTGTCATAAAATCAATGGATACCACCTCCCAGGGTTTCCCGGCGTGGGTAAGGGTTCCAGTAATCCTGTGGGGGCAGCCCGCTCCCCTTTGCCCTTTGGCAGCGGTCGCACCCCGTACATATTCCCGTACATCCTCCCTCACCCTGGGCCACCAGAACTGCCTGGTCACAAGCATCATGGTTTTGTGCTGTCCAAAGTGCCCTGCTGTGGGGTTGTCGTGGAGTTGTTTGAGTACCTTTCCCCTCAGGGTCTCCCCCGGTACGTACAGCGCTCCCCTATAGTACAGTACCCCTTCCTTCTCCTCAAACCCTTCTTGGGTCCCTCTTCCGTCTCGTAGTTCCCGGATTTTAGTTTGCGCGAACACGTCGTTTCTGGTCAGCCCGGCTAGTTCTCGTTTCCCCACCAAAGTTCCCCACACACCCATCGGTCCTCGGGGATCACGTGTCGTTTCTCCGGCGGCCCCTCTCCTTCCAGGTACTCCGGTTTACGCGAGAGAGCGTCTGCTCTTACGTTTTCTTCTCCGGGCACGTAGCGGATTTCAAAGAAAAACTTGGAGAACTCCTGTGCCCATCGAATCTGTCTCTGGTTGAGTACTCGTGCGGTTCTCCAGTACTCCAAGTTCTTGTGATCTGTGCAAACCTGGATCTGTTGTTGCGCCCTATCAGTAGATGACGCCAACGACGAAAGGCCGCGTAGATTGCCAGCAGTTCGCGGTCATACACTGTATAGTTTTGCTCCGACTTGCTCAGTTTTCTGGAGAAAAAGGCACACGGTTTCCATTCCTGCTTTCCCTTCCCTGGCTGCAAAGGACCGCCCCTACGGCTCTGTCGGACGCGTCGGTCTCTAGCCTCAGGGGTTTCTCCAGATCTACGTGCAGGAGTTGCTCTTCCGATGCGAACGCCTTCTTCAGTTTTTCGAAGGATTGCTGGGCCTCTTCTGTCCACACAAACTTCTTTTTGCTACTGAGACAATCCGTGATGGGCGCTGTCAAGTGGGCGAAGTTCTTGATGAACTTCCTGTAGAAGTTGCTGAACCCTAGGAACCTCTGTACGTCCTTCCGTGTTTTGGGAGCCTTCCACTCCAGCACTGCCTGCACCTTGCTTGGGTCCATCGCTAAGCCTTTGTCAGACAACTTGTACCCCAGAAACTCGACTTCTCTGGCGTGAAACTGACATTTTTCCAGCTTGACCCACAACTGGTGCTTCTGCAGTCGTTGTAACACTTCCCTGACGTCTCTAACATGTTGTTCCTCATTGTCCGAATAAATTAAGACGTCGTCCAAGAAGGCTACGCAGTTCTTGTACAGCAGAGACCCCAACACGTGGTGCATGAAAGCTTGAAAACAGGCGGAGCCCGACTGTAATCCAAAAGGCATAACTAAGTACTCAAAGGCACCTAGGGGTGTGAACATTGTGGTCTTCCATTCGTCCCCCTCCCTCATCCTGATCAAATTGTATGCGCCCCTGAGGTCCAGCTTGGTAAAAATTTTGCCTTTCCTCACTCGCGTTAAAATGTCGTCAATCCTGGGCATTGGGAAGGTCACGGGTTCTGACACCAAATTGACAGCTCTATAGTCCACTACGAGCCTGGGTTTATTTGTGTCCTTTTTGTCCACAAAGAACACCGGACTGCCCCCTACTGCCTTTGATTCTCTTATGAAGCCTCTTTTCAGGTTCTTGTCGATAAATTCTCGCAACTCCTTCATCTCCCTGTCTGACATGGCGTACAGCTTACCCACTGGCAGCTGAGCCCCGGAAGCAAGTTGATCTGGCAGTCAAAGGGCCTATGGGGTGGCAGTCTATCTGCCTCTTTCTCGCTGAAGACCTCCCGCAGATCTGCGTATTGTGGCGGCACCTCCCCTTTCCGCTCCACCGCCATCCCAGCCACCCTGGCCACGGTCATTCTTGGGGCTTCCCCCCCTAGACAGTGTTCCAGGCAGTAAGCTGACCCAAAGGTGACTGTCCTCTGATGCCACGCCACCACTGGATCATGTTGTGCTAGCCAGCTCATCCCTAATATTATTGGGGGTCCTGCTAGCGAGGCGACGTGAAAGGCGATGGTCTCCGAGTGCCTGGACACCCTCATTCTCATTGGCGGGGTCTGGTGTGTCACTTCCCTCCTAGAAGCTCCCTGCCATCAATGGTGGTCACTTGCAAGGGAAAATCCAAAGGCAGTAAGTGGAGCTGGTGCTCTAATGCAAAGTCCTTGCTGAAGAAATTACATGAGCTGCCTGAATCCAGCATGCCTTTCACCTTGACTGGGTGCCCGTTCGGGAGTTCTAGCACCACTTCGATGGCTATTGCCGCCTTGGGGGGGTCTGGTTGGGGCACTTTTACTGGTGGCTGGCTTGGCTGTTGTGCCCCTTGATTGGCAGCCAAGCGTTCTCGTTTCCCTGTTCCTGTTCCTTTACCACCTCCTCCTCACCCCCTGCGATTCCCACCATTCCTTGCCAAGCCTTTCTTTGAGGGCAGGCTCTGGCAAAATGGCCTGGCCGCTGGCAAAGGTAACACCTTTTGGAGGTTTTCCAATCCTTTCCCTCCTTCTTGCGCCCTTCGCTGGTGCTTGAAACTTCCCGCGCGCGCCCCCCATCTATTTCCATTGGCTCTGCTGGCGGGGAGGGCTGCCTTGGTATTTCAGGAATGCGGTAGTCATGGCAACGTTGCTCTCTCCCTTCCCGCCTCTCCTGGGCCCGCGCTTCCTGGCGCACGCCAATCGCAAGCACAGCCTTGGTCAGCTGATCCATCCCCTGTGGGCGGGGTGCGCGGGAAAGTTCATCCTTAACCGTTGGGGACAACCCCTCCTCGAATAACATCTGTATGGGTTCGGAGCCCAGTTCCCACCCGAGGCGGTGAACTATCATGGCAAAGCGCGACCAGTAGTCCCTAACTGACTGGCTCCCCTGTTTACAGTTCATCAATTCCCGCTTTGTCACACTTTTTGAACATCAGTGGAAAACATCGCGTCCATCGCTTGGAAGAATTTCCTCAGGTCCTGCATGGCGGAATTCTGCGTCGCCATAAGGGGTCTGACCCATTCCCTGGCCCCGTCCTGCAGGTGACCCACAACATATGCCACCCGCGCCGCGTCGTCTTCAAAATCGTTATGCTGCAATTCCAATGCGTACTCTATTTCCGTTCTAAACGCACTGTATTCTTGCGGCTTCCCCCCAAACTTGTGCACCAGTCCCGGTACCTTCCTTGCTATGGGGGTGGGTCTGACCTGTGCATCTTGAGACCGCCTTTCGTCCAGCCGTGCCGTCAGAATGGCCACATGCTGCTCCAAATCTCGGTTCCTCTCCTCCAGCGTTTGCCCTCCAGCTGCTCCCCCCTGGGTGCCTGCTTCTACGGGCTTGCTCATGATGCTGCCTGCCTGCTGCTGCGCACGAGCAACTTTTCAGGGACTGACGGATTGCTGTAATGAGTATGAGTTACTCGTGCGTAAACTGGTGCCTCTCTAGGCTAATTTGCCTTGTTAAACCTTTCTGACTGCACAGCCCTTTCTGATCATGACTGTCTCAGTCACTAGCAGAATCCGTCAGTGGGCGTTTCTTGAATCTCTTCCAACATAAGAGTTGTTTGACACCCAATCTTCTCCGCCTCTCACTGCGCGGGAGCCTTCTGCGCAGGGTGGGCGTGGGTAGCGGGGACCTGTCCCCTCCTCACTGAGTTCCAGTGAAGAGTCCGTGAGCCCTCTCTCCGATTTTCCCATCTGCTCACTTTTGTTCCTGGTGTTGCGCTTAAATGCTTCCCCCCCCACTGAGTCGCCTCTCCCCCTGCTGCTGGGTCCTTCTCCAGCATCATCCAGGAGCCTCCCCTTCACCTCCCGCTCTGATGTCAGTTCCCTGACAGGTTCCATCTACATAAAAAGAAGATGATAAAGCTCTGATTGGGCTCATTTCAAATTGGTGTTTTTGGGGTTAGAATGCACATTCACCCAAAAATCGCAGAGTGACATGTTTGTTATCATCCCAAACCAAGCATAGGTGTTTTGGTTCCATCTCAATAGAAAGAGGACATGTCAGGGGTTCAGGAGCAGAGGCACAGGAAAGGGAGGAAATAGAGAGCGAGGGGGAGGAGTCCGAAGGAAATGTTAGCGATGACAGCGGTCCGAGGTCTCTGAGTCTTTCCAGCGAATCGGAAGATTCACAGAAAGGGGCTCCCTTGGTCAGAGCAAGGGGGTGCCGAGGGGACACCCCAGGAAGAAGGGGCCAGAGGGGACTCAGAGAGCAGCAGTTGGAAATCAGGACCAGCGTCCACACCAGAGTGCAGTAGGGGGGAGGGGTCCCAGGCATCGGGATCAGGCGGCGCACTGCCAGTGGGAGGACATGAGTCAGGATTGGCCACGCCTCCATCGGGGAGCGAGGAGACGGTCGAGAGGAAGGTTGAAGGCTGGGCGCGCGCGCCAAGTTCAAATGTACAGGAGGGCGGCGCAGTTGGCAGCCCGGATAGGGAGCCAGGTCCCAAAGCCCGCCGAAAAGAGGGGGAGGAGTCAGGGGGGTCAGCGTCAGAAGAATCCAGGAAGGAAGGGACCCCGGGGGGTAGCAGGACCCAGAGGAGAAAGGAGAGACGTAAGAGGTGGAGTAAGGCTAGAATCTTAAACTGGTGTACCGGGGGCGGAGACTCAGTTGGAGCTTCGCCGATCTAACCCCTAGTCGTAGAGCTGGGGCGCTGCGGCTTGAAAATGGAAACTGTACTTCAATAAAGACTTTTGTACATTACTGCCGGCTAGCGTTGGTCCTCTGTGAGCTGGGACCTGGAGCCAGCTCTGACAGGACAAATAAGCTTGGATTGTTATTTCGGTGTTCATTCACTCACAAATAGCAAAGCGAATTGTAATAAGCCTAAACAATGCCAAACAGGTTGTTTTGGGTTGCAGCAACATAGAAAGAAGAATCTTGGATTTCGCTTATTTCAAGTCGTGTTCTTTGGTGTTAATGCACATTGACCCAGAAATCTCAAAGTGTGTGTAATGAGACCAAAATATCACAACACTGTCTTTTCGCTTCCATATGCGTAGAAAGAAGACGAATAAGCTTTGATTGTGCTTATTTCAATTCGCATGGGGTTTTTTGGGTGTGCACCAGAATCACCCCCAACCAAAGCAAAAAGGTTTTTTGTGTTCCATCTACATAAAATGAAGATCATAAAGCTCTGATTGGTTTTATTTAAAATTAGTGTTTTTTTTAAAAAAATATTTTTTATTCTTTTTCCATAACAAATTATACATCCAAAACAACTTATTTACATCCAAATTCCTCCTTATTGACTTCCCTCCTCCCGCCTTAAAAACCTTCTTAGTACTTACTTTCTCCACATTTCTTAAATTTAAATTACACAACCATATTATTAATTAATTTTTTACAATCTAACAATATTCCTACCTTTTCTCTTCACAGAGCTTCCTTAAAACTTACAAACGTTATCTGATTATCACTTAATTTTTGCATATATTCAATTAATTTCATCCAATCTTCTGTAAATCTTTGATCACGTCTCTTCTGGATCCTTCCTGTTAGTCTATCGAGTTCCGCATAATCCATCATTTTCATTCTCCATTCTTCAATCGTAAGTACCTCTTCTTGCTTCCACTTCTGGGCCATCAAAGTTCTTGCTGCTGACACTGCATATAAAAATATCTTATCTATCTCATTACCTATTATTCCTAGTAAAAAACGCTTCTGGTTTCTTTACAAATGTATATTTCAATACTTTCTTCAATTCAGTATAAATCATTTCCCAAAAGTTTTAAACTTTTTTACAGTCCCACCACATATGGTAAAACGTTCCTTCCTTTTTTCTACACATCCAACATTTATTACTTATCTTATACATCTTTGCCAGTTTTACAGGTGTCATATACCATCAATACATCATCTTCATTACATTTTCTTTTATAGCAGTGCACGCCGTAAATCTTATTCCATCTTTCCACAATTTTAACCAATCTTCTATTTGTATATTATATCCAAAATCTTTGGCCCAGTCAATCATAACCGATTTCACCTCTTCATCCTTTGTATAACATTCCAACAATAATTTATACATTCTTGCTAAACTTTGGAATTCATCATTCAATATTTCTTTCTGAAATTTAGACTCTTTATCAGCAAAACCTCTTTGTAGCATATCTTTCTTAAACATTTCATTAATTTGAAAATAATGCAGCCTTTAACCTCTTCAAATGGTCTTATTTTCCATTTACTTCCTTCTCTTTCAATTAACTTTTCATATGTTGCCCATCCCCCCCCCATATTAATTTTCTTTACACTCATTGCCTCCAATGGCGATAACCAATATGGAGTTTTTGGCTCCAATAAATTTTTATACCTCTCCCAGACTTCTATAAGAGACCTTCGTATTACATGGTTTTCAAAACCTTTATGTACACGTTTCTTATCACACCACAAATATGCATGCCACCCAAATCTATTATCAAAACCTTCCAAAACTAACAATTCTGTATTTTCTAATTTCATCCATTCCTTCAACCAACAGAGGCATGACGCTTCATAGTATAATTTCAAGTCTGGCAGGGCAAAGCCTCCTCTTTCTTTTGCATCTGTCAATAACTTAAACTTTATTCTCGGCTTCTTACCCTGCCAGATATACCTTGAAATTACTCTTTGCCATTCTTTAAAAATTGCTGCCCCCTTGATTATTGGAATTGTTTGAAACAGAAATAGTAATATCGGTAGCATATTCATCTTAATTGTTGCAATTCTTCCCCAAAATGACAGTTTCATTCTTCCCCACACCTCAAGGTCTCTTTTAATCTTGTTCCAAATTAGGGTATAATTATTCTGAAATAAATCAATACTCTTGGGGGTCAACCACACTCCTAAATATTTCACTTTTTAAACTACTTCCATCTCAACTTGTTGCTGCATTTTATCCATTATTTCTTGGTCCATATTTTTGACAATTATTTTGGTTTTTTTCTTATTCAGTTTGAATCCTGCCCAAACTGATCTATCTCTTCCAACACTTCTATTACTGAATTTATGGGATCCTCCACAGTAATAACCAAGTCATCGGCAAAAGCCTTGACTTTATATTCCTTACATCCCACTGACACACCTTTTATTTGTTCATTATTTCTTATCATCTTAAGTAAAACCTCCAGCACCACGATGAATAACAACGGTGAAAGAGGACATCCCTGTCTTCTACCTTTCGTTATTGCAATATTTTCAGTTGTCACATTGTTAACTATTAATTTTGCTCTTTGCTCCATATATATTGCCTTAATACCATTTAAAAACGTTTGTCCCATGTCCATCATTTCTAGATTCTTTAACATAAATTCCCATGAAATATTATCAAAAGCCTTTTCCGCATCCACAAATATTAACATTGCTTGTTTATCACTCCTGGCAGTCAGATATTCAATTACAGTGGTACCTCGCAAGACGAATGCCACGCAAGACGAAAAACTCGCAAGACGAAAGAGTTTTTGGTTTTTTGAGTTGCTTCGCGAGACGAATTTCCCTATGGGCTTGCTTCGCAAGACGGAAACGTCTTGCAAGTTTGTTTCCTTTTTCTTAAAACCGTTACAGTAATACTGGGTGCATTGCTTGAAGAGGTGCAGTTGCGACTTGACTTCGAGGAGCAACTCATAGCACGCGGTGTGGTAGCCTTTTTTGAGGTTTTTGAAGATTTTTTTGGAAAAATGGAAACCGTGCTTCGCAAGACGAAAAAACTCGCAGAACGAATTAATTTCGTCTTGCGAGGCACCACTGTATATTGATTATGTTTCTTATGTTATCTTTCATTTGTCTGCCTGGAAGAAACCCTGCTTGATCCTTATTCATTCTATTTGCTAGTATACTTGCAAATAGTTTATAATCATTGTTTAAAAGCGAAATAGGCCTATAATTTTTAACTTGGGACAAATCGGAATATTCTTTAGGAATAAAAGTTATATAAGCTACCTTCCACGTTTCTGGTATTTCCTTTCTTATTAGTATGTTGTTCATTACTTCTTTCAATGGTGCAAGAAGGGTGTCCTTCATTTCTTTATAAAATCTCGCGCTGAAGCCATCCTGGTGTTTTTCCACTTTTCAATTCTTTAATTGCACAATTTATTTCCTCTGTCTCAATCATCTCGTTTAATTTATTCTTTTTTTCTGTCGGAATTTTCTGCACCCCTTTTTCTTTTAAAAAATCTTCAATTTTTTTCTTATTTACTTTTTCTTTTCTTTTATACAATTGTCTATAGAAATCCATAAATCCTTTTCTAATTCCTTTTGGATCTTTAAACTCTTGATCTTCTACTATAATTTTTTGTATAGTATTTTGCTCTTTCCTCTTTTTAATCTGCCAGGCCAGAAGTTTTCCTGATTTATTTGCATACTCAAAGTTCCTCTGCTTCATTTTTTTGATGTTCCATTCTACTTCCTTACTTATTATCATAGAAAATTGCAATTATAATGTTTTGATGTTCAATTTCAATTTCTTATCCTGGGGTCTGGTAATTAGCTTTTTGTCATTCTCCATTATTTGTTTTAAGATTTCTTTTTTCCCTTTTTCTCTAAATTTATTTTTAATTGTATTTTGTTGGATAAAGAAACCTCTCATTACTGCCTTTCAAGCATCCCGGACTGTACTCATTTTTGTTCCTTGGTTCATGTTGTTAATAAAATAATCCTTAAAACACTTTTGTGCATTTTCCACTATTTCCTGGTCATCAAAAAGATTTTCATTTATTCTCCACCGGAAAGATTTTTCCTCAAATCCTTTTAATATACATTTAATCGCATTATGGTCCAAAAGTACTTTAGGTTGGATTTCAACCTTTGATATTCTTGGTGTTAATTCATTAGATATCCATATCCGATCAGTTCTGGACATTGATTGGTTTGCCTCTCAATAGAAGGTGAATTGTTTTTCTAATGGGTGCCTTAGTCTCCAAATGTCAATTAAATTGCAGTTCTCTACCATTGAGAAAAATGTTTTTGGTAACTTCCCTTCTTTTGTTTTTCCTGTTACTCTTAATCTGCCCATTTCCATTGACACTACTGCATTCATATCTCCCATTATTATCTTTTGATCCAAATATTCAAATAATTTATCTTCCAATTCTTTGAAAAAGTCCATTTTGTTATCATTGGGTGCATATACTCCGACTATTATTAATTTTTCACCTTGCCATTTGACTTGTACTGCCACTATTCTACCTTCTTCATCTTTAAAAATCTGTTGAGCCTCTAATTTATTTTTAATATATAATGCCACCCCTCTCTTTTTGCTTTTGTCAGATGAAATGAATTCATTTCCTAATTTTTTGTTCATTAAAAATTTTCTGTGTCTTCTCATCACATGTGTCTCCTGTAAACAAATAATGTCCAAATTCTTTTTTAAAAATATTGTTGAATTTTATTTCTTTTTTTCTATCGTTCATCCCATTGATATTCCAAGTCCATAATTTCAACGCCATGATGAGTCCAAATTAATTTTAGTAATAAATTTTGATTCTATTTCTCCTCTTCCTTCTCTTCTTTATCTTCTTCAGATTCTTGTGAATCTCCACCTTCCGCCCCTGCTCCCATTGCCTCTGCTTCTTCTTCTTCTCTTTCTAACTCTCTATATCTTCTCAGGAACTTATCCATTTCATCCGGTCTTGTAAACCTGTGTCTTTTTCCTTTATAAGCAAATGATAGCCCCTCTGGAAATTCCCACCTGAATTCAATTTTGTTTTGCCTCAGTATTTGCACTAGGTGTTGGTAATGGTTGCGTTTCTTCAATAAGCGAAGTCTTTAAAAATAATTATATAATTTCCATCAATATTTAATCTTTTTTCTCTATTCTTTTGCAAAATTAGATTTCTTATTTCTCTGTCTTTGAAAATAACTAAGCAATCTCCAGGAAATTTCTTTGCTTTGGTTGTCCTAACTTTAATTCTGAAGGCGTTTTGTATTGTCTTTGCAACATCTTCTTCCTGCATCTCTAACCATTGGGTAATCTCTTTAATGAGTTTCTCCTTTATTTCTTCTCCTAACCCTAACCCTAGCAAAGCGAGGTGTAATAAGCCTAAACAAAGCCAAACAGGTTGTTTTGGGTTCCAGCTACATAGAAAGAAGAATCTTGGATATCGCTTATTTCAAGTCGTGTTCTTTGGTGTTAATGCACATTGACCCAGAAATCGCAAAGTGTGTGTAATGAGATCAAAATAACACAACACTGTCTTTTCGCTTCCATATGCGTAGAAAGAAGACAAATAAGCTTTGATTGTGCTTATTTCAATTCGCATGGTGTTTTTTAGGTGTGCACTAGAATCACCCCCAACCAAAGCAAAAAGGTCTTTTGGGTTCCATCTACATAGAAAGAATAATTTTTGATTTTGCTTATTTCAATTCGCCTCATGTTCTTTGGTGTTAATGCACATTGACCCAGAAATCGCAAAGTGTAATGAAACCATAATAACAAAACACAGTCTTTTCACTTCCATATACGTAGAAAAGAGAATAAGCTTTTATTGGGCTTATTCGTGTTTTTTGAGGTGTTCACCAGAATCATCAAAGAATCGCAGTCCAAAGTAACAAAAATTGTTGTTGTTTTTTTTAAGAATAATTTTTATTAACCGACCAATCACATCAAATCAAACCAAATTACATAAATTCCAAATTACAAAGCCGAATTTTAAATTTTTGTTGGGGGTACCCATATTTCAAGTTTCAAGTTCCGAAGGGGATCCAATCATCTTCTTGCTGCTGCTTTAATGTCCACAAATCTGACCATATGATGTTCACAGTACTATCCAGTCCTTTCTTATTGTTTTTCCACACCTCTTCTTGTTATTTTCACATATTTTTCCTTTCTCTTTGTGACCTCTGATAGTCTCCACAAGCGGGTTAAAACAGCTTGTAATCATGTGTGGATATTTTTTTTATCCAAGAGCCATATCCAGACGTTTTCCGTATAACATCACTTCCATAAATCAAAACAGTCTTACCGTCGTTAATCTTCACAAATCTGTCGCCTTTCTCAAACCTCTGAGGAGATTCACCAGGAATGCTGTCTGAAAACAAATCCATTCCTCCTCCCGGTTGTAAATCCTTCGGCAAAACCTGCCAAGATGGCGACTCTGTATTTATTGTCCCGCCATTGCAAAAGCTCTTGTTCTTTACTCAATCTCCATAAAGCATACTTTGGGTTAAAATTCATTTCCACACAGTCCTTAATCATCCTGCTTGGGTCAGTTAACTGACGGTTCTAACGAGGGGGGGTTCTTGGTTAATCACATAGAAGAAAAGAAAAAAGGGTTCCCCCCCCATCCAGTCCCATTGCTGACATACCCAGCCTTTTGATTATCTTCTTCGTGAAATATTCCTATTGCTCCAACCTGTCGTCTTCTTTAACAGAGGTCCCTTCTATTAGCAGTCTTCACTCCCCTTCTTCACTTGAAATATGTGCATTTGCTTCTTTTGTAATTAATTATTCCACATTGCTGCAGCTAGTGTGCGATCAGAGACAGCGTCCAGGAGAGCCGGGGTCCACACGGGGGCATTCTGCCTAGGGCCCTCACCCCCTTCTTTCGAATTTGGGGGTGATTTATGGGCACAGCAGGCAAGGGCAGTGTTCCCCATTCACTTGGGGCAACAAGGGAGGCTGCCTACTCCCATAACAGCCTCTTAATAACCCCGTGTGGTCCGGAGAGATGGTATTGTCGGCCATCTTCCAATGCGCACCTAGTGGCCTCCAAAGTAACAAAACTTGCTATCGCTTCCATATGCGTAGGATAAGCTTTAATTGGGCTTATTTCAATTCGTGTTTTTTGGGTGTGAATGCTTTAATTGGGCTTATTTCAATTTGTGTTTTTTGGGTGTGAATGCTTTAATTGGACTTATTTCAATTCGTGTTTTTTGGATGTGAATGCACATTCACCGAAAAATGCAGTGTACAAAATAACAAAACTTGTTTTTGCTTCCAAATGCGTAGAAAGAAGAAAAATAAGCTTTGATCGGGGTTATTTCAATGTCTTTGTGCTTTTTCTTTGATCATTCACCCCAAAATAGCAGAGGTGTAATCAGTCCAAACAAAGAAAAACAGGTTGGGCTTATTTCAATTCGTGTTTTTTCGGTCTGAATGCACATTCACCCAAAAATGGCAGTGTTATCATTCCAAAATAACAAAACACCTTTTCGCTTCCATATGCGTATAAAGTATAAGCTTTAATTGGGCTTATTTCAATTCGTGTTTTTTGGTGTGAATGCATTCACGCCAAAATCGCAGTCCAAAATAAAACTTTTCGCTTCCATATGCGTACAAAGAAGACGAATAAGCTTTGATTGTTCTTATTTCAATTCGCATGGTGTTATATGGCGTGCACCAGTAATCATCCCAAACAAAGCAAAATAGGTGTTTTGGATTCCATCTACACAAAAAGAAGAAAAAGCTTTGATTTGCTTATTTCAAATTGTTGTTTTTTGGGTTAGAATGCACTAACCCAAAAATCGCAGTGAAATGTTATCAGTCTAAACCAAGCAGGTGTTTTGGTTCCATCTCAATATAAAGATGACGAATGCTTTGATTTCAATTCGTGTTTTTTGGGTGTTCTTCACCCAAAAATAGCAAAGCGAAGTGTAATAAGGGTAAACAAAGCAAAACAGGTTGTTTTGGGTTCCATCTACATAGAAAGAATAATTTTTGATTTCACTTATTTCAATTCGCTTCGTGTTCTTTGGGGTGTTTTGGTTCCATTGGGGGTATCTAAATCCGTGTTTTTTGGTGTGAATGCACATTCACCCCAAAATTGCAGTGTGTCCAAAACAAACCTTTTCCCTTCCATATGCTTAGAAAGAAGACGAATAAGCTTTGACTGGGTTTATTTAATTTCGTGTTTTTTCGGTGTTCATCCAAAAAAAAGCAGAGCGAAGTGTAATGTCCAAAATAACAAAACATGGTGTTATATCTAGATAGAAAGCTTTGACTTCAATTCGCTTCGTGTTTTTTTGGTGTTAATGCACATTCAGGGGAAATCGCAAAGTGTAATGTCCAAAAATAACAAAACACCTTGTTTTCGCTTCCATATGCGTAGACAGAAGAATAAGCTTTGATTGTTCTTATTTCCAATCACATGTTGTTTTTTGGGTGTGCACCAGAATCACCCCAAAAAGCAAAAGAGGTGTTTTGGCTTCCATCTGCATAAAAAGAAGACAAATAACCTTTCATTGGGCTTATTTCAATTGAAGGCACCAGTGGCAGAGGAACAGGTGCTAGAGTCTCAGGTGGAGGAGGCACTAGCGGCAGCGGAAGAGGCTCAGGCGGAGGAGGCACAAGCGCGAGCAGCAGAGGCCTGATGTGGCAGAGTCTCAGGAGTTGGAGGCACTAGTGACAGCGGAAGAGGCTCTGGTGGCGAAAGCACCAGCGGCAGCTGCAGAAGTGCAGGTGGTAGAGATTCAGGCGGCAGAGGAACCAGCGGCAGTGGCAGAGGCAGAAATGGTAGAGGCTCAGGTGGTGGAGGCACCAGTGGCAGACGCACAGGTGGTAGAGATTCAGGCGGCAGAGGTACCAGCGGCAGCAGCAGACGCCCAAGCAATAGAGGCTCTGGCGGCAGAGGCACCAGTGGCAGCGGCTCAGGCAGTGGAGGCACCAGCGGCAACAGCAGAGGTACAGGTGGTTCAGGCGGTGGGGGCATCAGCGGCAGAGGCTAAGGCGGCAGAGGCACCAGAGGCATCCGCAGAGTTGCAGGTGGTAGAGGCTCAGGTGGCGAAAGCACCAGTAGCAGGTGCAGAGGCGCAGGTGGTAGAGATTCAGGCGGCAAAGGCACCACCAGCAGCGGCAGAGGCGCAGATGGTAGAGGTTCAGGCGACTAAACAACAACAACACAGCAAATTAAAAAATGCTAGGCTTGACACACTCCCTACCAAGGCTGAAGTTCTGCAATACTTGGTACATTTGAGGGAGCTGGGTCACACAGCAAAGACTCTTAAACATCCAGTCAGCTGCAATCTCCTCCTTCTGTAAGGCTATTTACTCCACAGACCCTTGTGTGGATTTCTTAGTGTGAAGGGCACTGGGGGGCTGGCGCAGGCTGCAGCCTCCCAGCAGTGATGGTAGAAGGCCCATAACTTATGACAGTCTATGCCAAATCCAAATAACAACAACAACAACAACAACAACAACAACAACAACAACAACAACAATAAAGAGGTATCTGTTGGTCTAAGTACAAGGCCCGGTTATTTTTTGGCTGCATACTCCATCGCCTCCTTTGGCGCTCTGCACATTGGCGAAGTGGTTTGTGAGGGCCAACAAGATTCCGCTGCCCGGGGAAGTTTATTGAGAGACCTTACCTTGTCCAGATCCAATTTAGTCCTGCATGTCCGATGTTCCAAAACTGATCAGCAGGGAAAGGGGGCCCTTATTTGGCTCCAAACAACTAGTCACAATGGGCCATGCCCAGTAAAGAGCACTAGACATTTCATGTACGTGAGATCAACCGTCTCAGGCCCATTCCTCATACATTTGGATGGCTCCCACCTTGCACAGAATCAGTTCATGCTGCTATGCGAAGGGCGATTGCTGCCTGTGGTTCACCCCCAGCTGAATTTGCCTTTCGAATTGGGAGCAATGCATTTGGGAGTCTCAGCTGAATGGATGAAGGACTTGGGGCGGTGGAAGTCTAATACTTTTAAGGGATATATTCGTAAGACCTTGTGATTGTTCATGGTATATCTGACCTGGCTTTGTTACCTTCTTTTGCTTTCAGGAGACATTGTGGTGCACATAGACTTGGGCTATCAGAAAGGCGTGGACTTGATGTGGGACATTTACAATGATTTCAATGAACTGATTGCCTCATTGCCAGATTCAACCCTAATTTGGTCACCACTGCTGGCGAGGCATGTCGGTGCCCTGTTGCGATAAACAAAGCCCAGGAAGCTTTTGGTACATTAGGTGGCATGTAGAGTGGCAGCTCTGGGGGGTTGGGTCATTGACCACCCCAACATCCAGTTCAGCTGTGGCCCTCTACTGAGAGGATGGCGTACATCTTTCCGATGTGGGAAACAATGTGTGGTTGGCGGATATGATGTCTGGGATTAGGGATTGGTTGCAGGTTTGAGGGTATTTGTGGCAAGCTTTTGCTCGAGTGGCGGTTAGGCATTGGTATTGGTATTGTTATGTAGATGGAAGGGGGGGAGGAAGCACCATCACCTCCCCCCCCATATTGAAGGGTAGTCCGATAAAGGATTCTAGGGGGCGTGGCCCTGTCTGAAGGCTATGGAGGTGAGGGCCTAAGCCACGCCCCCGAGCGGTGACCCTGGGGGAGTTCCTAGTTGATGTGCATCAGCAGGACTCCCCCTACTGGACTTCCCGGACTTCAAGCGAACAGGCTGAAGCCAGATAGTCGGTTAGGACCAATGCCTAAGCCAATACCGCTCATCACCTGTAACCAATAAAGTTGTGGCCATATTTAGACCATTAACCTTAAATATCTGTGTCGTGTGTCTTTATTTCCACTGGGGGGAGGCAGGAACTCGCCACGCAACTAGTTTCAACATCACTCCCATAGAAGATGTGATTGTTATAACTCTTCCTTCTTGACTTGTACAGAAAGCAATCTTTCCAAAATGTGTTCATGAGAAATTGTGGGGAAACTGTCCTACTTCGAACAGTATTTGCATATCCTCTTGTATTTGATCCACTGCAAGTAGATAGCTCCTTTTCATGAAGCTGCTCTTAGCTGTTCTGTGGAGGCAGATTTTCATCTTTCTTAAAACTAGAATTAAGGAAAGAGCCCCTAAAATAAATAAGAAGAAAATGAGACTAGAAATGACTGGACATGTATGTAAGTAAGTAAATAAAATTAATTTTATTATTTATACCCCACCCACCTGATTGGGTTTCCCCAGCTACTCTGGGTGGCTTAGAGTACATAAAAAATTGTAAAACATTAGACACTAAAAATTTCCCAATAAAGGGTTGTCTTCTAAATTTGGTTAGCCAAGGTGGTTCCCTTCAAATGTTGTTGGATTGTCATCATACCTGACCATTGGCCATGATAACTGAGGCTGATAATCCAACATCATCTGGAGTGAACCACACTGGCTACCCCCATCCTATGTTGTATTTTGCTATGGTTATTGGGGGTGGGGGGAGGAAGGGCTGTTCTTATACCTTGAAATACTGTTAACTTTCACAATAGGTTTATATAGCTCTGGGATCTTCCTCTCAATCACTGGCCTAAGGTTCTCTTTCAACTTGTTATAGTTCTTTTTGATAATCCCTTTGGTCAGCAGTAATCAGGCATTTATTTTTCACCACATCTGTTCCCAAAAAATGAAGAACAAAATTCATGTTAATTAATTTCACCACTTAGTCTTGCACCATGTGCATCTTGTAATAAAGTTTCAGTTTTGGCTGGGACTGAGCTTTATAATCATCCCCATAAAGCCAAATTTAGCACAAAACAGAAAACGAAGCAGAATAACTCAAAACAAATAAGAAACATCAGAATAATGAAAAACAATTGATGGGAAACAGAACCACCCTAAACCCTAACCATTTACCTCTTACCCATGACCCCTAATCACTTGCCCATTACCCTTTACTCCAATCCCTTATCCCCAACCACCTACCCTGTATCTCTAACCCATAAGCACTTTCCCTTAACCCCATACCATTTACCACTAACCCCAATCCCTACCCATTTAACACTAAGCCCTTACCCTAACCCAGGCATAGGCAAACCTGGCCCTCCAGATGTTTTGAGGCTACAATTCCCATCATCCCTGACCACTGGGGATGATGGGAGTTGTAGTCCCAAAACATCTGGAGGGCCAAGTTTGCCTATGCCTGCCCTAAACATTTACTCCAATCCCTTACCCCTTTTCCATAATCACTTACCCCATACTACTTACCCCAACCCTAAACCACTTACCCCTAGTTGTCAGGAGTGCGTGCAGGAGCCAGGCCCTGTGACTGGTAGGGCCTCGCAGGAATGGGGCCTTCCTGAGTTTGGCCTGGAAGGGCACAGGTGAGGCTTGACAGAAGATTTGTAGCACCTGGTGGCAAGGGCTGGGAGGGGTATATAAGATCAGCATTTCCCTCTGGCTCTTTGCCACAGCAACACGCTACCCACCTAGTTGTGCTTTGGCTTCCTGACTCCTGGTTTCCTGATTTATGGACTCTTGGCTTCCAGACCCCTGGACTGCTGATTCCTGCTTCCTGACCTCCACCCCGGTCCTGACGTACGGAGCCGGGACTCCGACTGCCTGTAACCCAGATTGTGACACTAATCACTTGCCCCTTACCCCTAATCACTTGCCCTTAATGCCTAAGCTCTTACCCCTTACCCCAACCCCAACCCCTAAATGTGGTCACATACCCTCAATCCATTACCCCATACCACTTACCTCTAACCCTTTGCCCTTCATTCCTATTCCCTAATTCCTAACCACTTACCCCTTACTTTAACCCCTCACAGCTAATCCCCATTCCCTATACGCTTACACCAAACCAATAATCGCTTACCCCAATCCCTTACCCATAAACCCTTAACACTTACCCCTGATCGCAGACCCCTAACCCCAAATCCATAACCACTTACAGCTAAGAGAGATTTATTGCAAACAAAGTGTGATAATAAATCTTGTGCCCACATGCTTCCTCTGGCGTGAGCTTTGCAGAATACGCAATGTTGTTGGAAGCCTATTGAAGTCTGAATGCTGTCCTTCTGGACAACAAAGGAAAGAATGGTTTGAAAGCTACAACTAGTGTTATTGTAGTAAACAGTAATAAACATATACCGGTAGATTACTATATACAGATATAGAGTGTTAACAGCATGTACAGTCTCTCAGCAAACTGCCATTAACCAATCCCTCATACTCTAACCACTACAGACAGACAGAGGGACTCTCTCAGAACGCAGGCATATATATATATATATATATATATATATATATATATATATATATAATATAATAATAATAATAATTTTTATTGTTTCATATTACCAAATTAAACACATCAAACCAATTGTCAGGGGTTCAGGAGCAGAGGCAAGGGCAAGGGAGGAAACAGAGAGCGAGGGGGAGGAGGCAGAAGAAAAGATGAGTGATGACGACGACCCGAGATCTCCGAGTCTTTCCAGTGAATCAGAAGATTCACAGAAAGGAGCACCAGTGGCCAGGGCAAGGGGGAGCCTAGGGGACGCCCCAGGAAGATAGAGCCAGAGGGGACTCAGAGGGGAGCAGTTGGAAATCGGGACCAGCGTCACCGCCAGAGAGCAGGGAAGAGGAAGGGAGCCAGGGATCAAGCGCTGGCAGCTCACAACAGGGGGGAGGGCACGAGTCAGGAGTGGCCACACCTCCATCGGGGAGCGAAGAAACGGTCAGACGGAAGGTGGAAGGTTGGGCGCGCGCGCCAAGTTCAAATGCACAGGAAGGTGGCACAGTAGGCAGCCCGGAAAGGGAGCCAGGTCCTAAAGCCCGCCGAAAGGAGGGAGAAGAGTCAGGGGGGTCAGCGTCAGCGTCAGAGGAATCCCGGAAAGAAGAGACCCCAGGGGGGCAGAGGGACCCAGAGAAGAACAGTCAGGCGGAAAAGGTGGAGCAGGGCTAGGATATTAAGTTGGTGTACAAGGGGCGGAGACTCAGACGGAGCTTCGCCGGTCTAACCATGAGACGTAGAGTTGCACGCAGCAGTTTGAGAATGGAAACTGTAACTCAATAAAGACTTTTGTTTAATGATCGCTGGCTAGCGTGATCCTCTGTGAGCTAGGATCTGGAAGCAGCTCTGACAGTAAGCTCCGTCTCTATAAAATTGTGGGCATCTACAGCCTCGCGGAGAGGAGAGAAAGCGGGTGCCTACTAGCGAGCTCACGAAAGGCAGACAATATGACGGCCGAACAGCAGATAGCGGAACTCAGAGAAGCAGTGTCACGACTGAATGCCGAGGCTCTTGCATCCAGGAAGAGAGAGGAGGACGCAGCTGCCGCCTACAGGGATCTCCAGGTCAGGTTGGAAGTGCTTACGAAGCAAGGGCAACTGACACCCAAACCGGAGGGGATTGGGTTGGGGAGACGAACAGGCGGTCTGGTCTCTCACTTCGATGGGAATTTGCAACAGTACCCCAACTTTAGAGCAGATGTAATGTGTGCACTGCAACTGCTGGACAAAGACTTTAGAGATGAGCAAGAGAAGGTGGGATTCATCATGTCCCATTTGCATGGAGATGCTAAAGCATGGCTGCGCAATTTGTGGAGAGATAAGGATCCGGCGCTCCAAAATGCGGATGCCTTTATTAAAGCGATGGATGGGTGCTTTTATTCAAGCATTGACGTGGATCTTGCTCGGCAGCAGATACATGGACTGAAGCAAGGGAGGGCCAGCGTAAGGCAGTACCATGCCCGCTTTTCGCTTTGGTCAGTGCTCTGGAATGGGACAGAGATTCGGCTCCTGTAAGAGACCTGTTTTGGGAGGGATTGCACGGCTCGGTTAAAGATGAAATTGCGAGGGGAGAGACCCCGGACCACGCAGGAGATCGTTCAGAGGGCGCTGGCGGTGGGGGTGCGGCTGGAAGAACGTCCGTGGAGCAGGGACGAAGGGCGGGAGGGCGCGAACCAGCCAGGGGCTCCTCCTTCCTTCCCAGAGAAGCAGCGCGTGCGCAATCCACGCCTCCGCCAGGAGGAGGAGCGGAACCTATGGAGGTTGGAGGTGCAAGGGCTCAGTCAGCAGCCAGAGCCCTAGCACCGGCAGCAGTGAAAGCGAAGCCTCCTAGAGGGAACAGGAAGTGTTACATCTGCGATGCTCCACAGCATATGGCGAAAGAGTGTCCCCAGAGGCTCCACAAGCACACTGCAGCTTCAGCAATGGTAACTGCAGCAACGCAGCAAGGAGAACCACAGCAGGGAAACGATGGAGTCTGGTTGGAGGAAGAGGCACTGGGGCCCAGCCAGACGTGTCAGTGAAGCAGTCCCCAGAGATTTTACAGCCCATGGACCCCTCCCGCCCAAACCAGTAGTGAGGCTCACCGCGTCGCTCCAGCTGCCCAATGGAATCACCATGGACGTGCCAATCACCATTGACTCCGGAAGCAATGCGGACTTTATAGGGCAGGACTTTGTCGACCGGCACGCTATACAGTTGCTGCCTGCCACGCTGCCCCTGCAGGTTGTTACGGTGGATGGCAGGGAGCTGCTAGGGGGGCAAGTGGTGAAGCAGACGCCACCAATGGTGATGCGGCTTGGGAATCACAGGGAAATCATCAGCTTCAATGTCACTCAACTATCGGACACGCCCATTGTATTGGGCATGAGTTGGCTGGACAAGCACAGCCCGACGCTGGCTTGGTACCAGAGGCAGCTGACCTTCGGCTCTTCCTTTGCGCTGAACACTGCATCGTGCCCCGGCAGGAAGGAGAGGAAGAGGAGTCACAGCTGCAGCTAGGCACGCTGCAAGCGGTTCCCCACAAGTACGCAGAATTTTTGGAGGTTTTCTGCGAGAAGGAGGCAGACAGGCTACCCCCCCACAGACCATATGACTGCAAAATTGACCTGCTGCCGGGGGCGGCGCTGCCCAAAGGGAAGCTGTATTCCATGTCTGAGGATGAACTGCAGGAACTCAAAGAGTTCATAGATCATAATTTGGAGCGCGGTTTCATCCGAGAGTCCAAGGCAGCGGGGGCAGTCCGGTATTCTTTGTTAAGAAGCGGGACACGCCCCAGAAAAGACTTGTAGTGGACTATCGCATTTTGAACAGCGTGACCAAGCCATCGGACTTCCCCATGCCCCGAATCGACGACCTCCTCGCAAAGGTACGGAAGGGCAGCGTGTTCACTAAGTTGGACCTGCGAGGGCGTATGTCAGGGGTTCAGGAGCAGAGGGACAGGAAAGGGAGGAAATAGAGAGCGAGGGGGAGGAGTCCGAAGGAAATGTTAGCGATGACAGCGGTCCGAGGTCTCTGAGTCTTTCCAGCGAATCGGAAGATTCACAGAAAGGGGCTCCCTTGGTCAGAGCAAGGGGGTGCCGAGGGGGACACCCCAGGAAGAAGGGGCCAGAGGGGACTCAGAGAGCAGCAGTTGGAAATCAGGACCAGCGTCCACACCAGAGTGCAGTAGGGGGGAGGGGTCCCAGGCATCGGGATCAGGCGGCGCACTGCCAGTGGGAGGACATGAGTCAGGATTGGCCACGCTCCATCGGGGAGCGAGGAAACGGTCGAGAGGAAGGTTGAAGGCTGGGCGCGCGCGCCAAGTTCAAATGTACAGGAGGGCGGCGCAGTTGGCAGCCCGGATAGGGAGCCAGGTCCCAAAGCCCGCCGAAAAGAGGGGGAGGAGTCAGGGGGGTCAACGTCAGCGTCAGAAGAATCCAGGAAGGAAGGGACCCCGGGGGGTAGCAGGACCCAGAGGAGAAAGGAGAGACGTAAGAGGTGGAGTAAGGCTAGAATCTTAAACTGGTGTACAGGGGGCGGAGACTCAGATGGAGCTTCGCCGATCTAACCCCTAGACGTAGAGCTGAGGCGCTGCGGCTTGAAAATGGAAACTGTACTTCAATAAAGACTTTTGTACATTACTGCCGGCTAGCGTTGGTCCTCTGTGAGCTGGGACCTGGAGCCAGCTCTGACAGTAAGCTCCATCTCATAAAGTTTTGCACCAAAAACCTCGTAACGTGAGTGGACGCAGCGAGGGAAGAAGATTGGTGCTTCGCGAGCTCACAAAAGTCAGGCAAGATGACTACAGAACAGCAACTAGCAGCCCTGCAAAATGCAGTGACACAACTCAACGCGGAGGTACTCGCATCCAGGAAAAGGGAAGAGGAAGCGGCTGCCGCCTGCAGGGATCTCCAAGCCAGGTTGGAAGTGCTTGCTAAGCAGGGGCAACCGGGACCCAAATCAGAGGGGATTGGGCTGGGGAAAAGAGGAGGCAGCCTGGTATCTCATTTCGATGGGAATTTGCAGCAGTACCCTAACTTCCGAGCAGACGTGCTGTTTGCGCTGGAACTGCTGGATAAAGACTTTAGAGATGAGCAAGAGAAGGTGGGGTTTATCTTGTCCCATTTGCATGGGGAAGCTAAAGCGTGGCTGCGCAATCTGTGGAGAGATAAGGATCCGGCGCTCCAAAATGCGGATGCATTCATTAAAGCGATGGATTCGTGTTTTTTATCAAATATAGACATTGATATCGCCAGAAAAGACATACATGGGCTCAAACAAGGCAGAGCCAGTGTAAGGCAGTACCATTCCCGCTTTTTTGCATTAGTCCATGCGCTGGGATGGGAGAAGGATTCTGCCCCAGCCAGAGACCTTTTTTGGGAAGGCTTGAATGCAAATGTGAAAGATGAGATTGCAAGGGGGGAGAGACCAAAGAGCACTCAGGAGGTTGTCCGGCGGGCGCTGCAAATTGGGGTGCGTCTGGAAGAACGTCCATGGAACAGAGAAGAAGGACGTTGGGGACGTACGCCAGTGAGAGCACCTCCCCTCTTCCCAAGGATGCAGCGCGTGTGCAATCCCCACCTCCGCAAGGAGGGGGAGAGCAACCGATGGAGATTGGAGGCGCCAGGGCTCAGTCAGCAACCAGAGCCCTAACACCGGGAGCAGTCAAAGCGAAGCCTCCTAGAGGGAACAGGAAGTGCTACATCTGCGACAGTGCTCAGCACATGGCGAAAGAGTGTCCCCAGAGGCTCCACAAGCACACTGCAGCCTCAGCAACAGTAACAGACGCAACTCAGCAGAGAGAACCACAGCAGGGAAACGACAGAGTCTGGTTGGAGGAAGAGGCACTGGGGCCCAGCCAGACAAGTCAATGAAGCCGTCCCCAGAGATTTTGCAGCCCACAGACCCCCTCCCGCCCAAACCAGTGGTGCAGCTCACAGCATCGCTCCAACTACCCAATGGACTCACTATGGAAGTGCCGATTACCATTGACTCTGGTAGTAACGCAGACTTCATAGGACTGGATTTCATTCAAGAGCACAACATAGCACTCCTGCCAGCCACGCTGCCTCTGAAAGTTGTCACGGTGGATGGCAGGGAATTGCTGGGGGCAGGTGGTGCAGCAAACGCCTCCGATGGTGATGCAAATTGGGAATCACCGAGAAGTCATCAGCTTCAATGTCACCCAACTGTCGGACACGCCTATAGTATTAGGCATGAGTTGGCTGCACAGGCACAGCCCAGCATTGGCGTGGTACCAGCGACAACTGACCTTCGGCTCCTCATACTGTGCGGAACATTGCATTCTGCCTAGCCCGGAAGGGGAAGAGGATGACCCGCAGCTACAATTAGGCACGCTGCAAGCAGTGCCACTCAAGTACGCAGCGTTTTGGAGGTTTTCTGCGAGAAGGAAGCGGACAAGCTACCTCCCCACAGGTCCTATGACTGCAAGATTGACCTCCTGCCAGGGGCGACGCTGCCAACCGGGAAACTGTATTCCATGTCTGAAGACGAGCTGCAGGAACTCAGGGAGTTCATAGACCTCAACTTGAAGCGCGGTTTCATCCAGGAGTCGAAGGCAGTGGGGGCAGTCCTGTATTCTTTGTGAAGAAGAAGGACACGCCCCAAAAAGGCTTGTGGTGGACTATAGAATTTTGAACTCGAAAACCAAGCCCACAGCCTTTCCCATGCCCAAGATAGATGACCTGCTCGCAACGGTGAGGAAAGGACGCGTTTTCACAAAGTTGGATCTGCGAGGGGCGTACAACCTGATTCGCATACGGGAGGGCGACGAATGGAAGACTGCCATGTTCACGCCCCTGGGCACCTATGAATACAGAGTTATGCCCTTTGGATTACAAAATGGCTCCCACTGTTTTCAAGCCTTCATGCATCACGTATTGGCGGGTCTCCTCTACAAGAAATGCGTCTGCTTCCTGGACGACATCCTGATATTTTCAGAATCAGAGGAGACCCACGAGGGAGACGTCAAGGAAGTTCTGCAGAGACTGCAGGAGCACAGGCTGTACGCCAAGCTGGAGAAGTGCCAGTTCGACATGAAGGAGGTAGATTTCCTGGGCTACAAGTTGTCGGACAAGGGGCTCGCCATGGACAGCGCCAAGGTTCGCTCAGTGTTGGACTGGAAGAGCCCGCGCAATCGGAAGGAGGTCCAGCGGTTTGTCGGTTTCGCCAACTTTTACCGCAAGTTCATCAAGGGGTTCGCGATGCAGACGGCGGCCATTACCGACACGCTCAGCTCCAAGAAGAAGAAGTTCATCTGGACGGAGCAAGCGGAGCAGTCCTTTCAGAAACTCAAGCGCCTCTTCTCGTCCGAAGAGCAGCTACTGCATGTGAATCCCAGCAGACCGATGAGGGTTGAAACGGACGCCTCAGACAGAGCCGTGGGAGCAGTACTGTTGCAGCAAGACCCGCATGGGGACTGGAGACCGTGTGCCTTCTACTCCAGGAAGCTCAGCAAGTCAGAGCAGAACTACACCATCTGGGACAGGGAGTTGCTGGCCATTCATGCAGCATTCAAGGCGTGGCGGCACTTCCTCATTGGAGCCAAACACACAGTGCAGGTCCGCACGGACCATAAAACCTGGAGTACTGGCGCACGGCAAGGTTCCTGAACCAGAGGCACATACGATGGGCGGAGTTCTTTGCGGATTTCGACTTCAGGATAGAGTACATCCCAGGCGACAACAACATCATGGCGGATGCACTGTCCAGAAAGCCGCAATACCTCGAGGAGGCGGCACCAGCAGCGGCCAAGCACATTTTCGCACCGAAAGCGTGGGCGTGCGCTTCAGCAACCGTGGACCTGGATGCTGTACGCCGAGCACTGCAGGAGGACCCCTTCGCGCAAGCAAAGATGGCAGAGGTGCAAAGGGGCACGGCGGAGGACGACGAGTTCCAGATACGCGACGGATTGCTCATCCGCAGAGGGGCCCTCTACGTACCGGGAGACGACCTCCGCGCGAAAGTACTGCAGCAGTTGCACGACGCACCCACCGCCGGGCACTTTGGCAAAGAGAAGACGGTAGAATTAGTAGCCAGAGATTTTTGGTGGCCCAAGATGCGGGGGAAGTCGCGGATTACGCCTCGAGGTGCGACACCTGCCAAAGGGCCAAGTCAGTGCACAAACCGCCGGCGGGACTGCTCGAACCGCTGCAGACACCGCTCGAACCGTGGGAGAGGGTGGCCCTGGACTTTGTCACGGATCTACCCAGCTCGAGGGGCAAGACGGCAGTGCTAGTGGTGGTGGACATGTTCACCAAAATGGCCCACTTCATTCCGTGCGCGAAGGTGGCCACGGCGGAACAGACCGCCAAACTGTTCATAGACCACGTGTTCAGGGTTCACGGTCTGCCACGGTCCATCCTGTCCGACCGGGGGCGACAGTTCATCTCGAACTTCTGGCAGAAGCTGATGGGTTTCCTGAACGTCAAGATCAACCTAGCGTCGGCGAGACACCCGCAGACGAACGGACAAGCGGAGCGAGTCAACGCCATCATGCAGCAGTACCTGCGATGCTACGCAAATCAGCAGCCGGCAACATGGGTGGACTACCTGCCGCTCGCTGAGTTCGCCTACAACAACACGAAGCACGTGTCCACGGGGGTGACACCGTTCTTCGCCAACAACGGGAGGCATCCCAGAACCTTCCCGGGATTAGCGAGAGCGGGGGAGGGGAGCCACAGGCAGCGGAAGCCTTAGCATCAGAGTTGCAGGAGGTTCACGAACAGCTTCGGAGGCAGTTAGAACTAGCAAAGCACGCATACAAACTGCAGGCTGACAAGCACAGAAGGGTTGGGGAAGACATACAGGTGGGAGACTGGGTTTGGTTAGCAGCCCAGGCAGTGCCGGCCAGATCGTTAGCGAAGAAGAAGCTAGGGCATAAGCAGCTAGGACCCTACCAAGTCGAGGCACAGGTCAATCCAGTGGCCTTCCGGTTGACACTGCCGGAGGGATCCAGAATGCACCCAGTTTTCCATAGATCAGTGCTCACGCCCTACAAAGCACCTCATAGATTTCAGGAGCCAGGAACGGCACCAGACCCGTTCAGGGAAACGCCCACAAGGGGGGGGTCGCCAAGGCGGGAACCCGTCAACGAAGTCACAGAGATTTTAGACTCGAGATGGGGGGAAGAGGGAGTAGAATATCTTCTCGCCAGAGAAGGTACCCCGGCCAGCGCCAACAGTTGGGTGCCAGACCATGCCTTGGACGAACCTTTCTCAAGGACGAGTTTCATGCCCTTTTCCCACACAGGCCCATGCCAGCCGAGTATTTCGACGACTGGCTTTTCACACCCACATTTTCAGCTAGCACATTCCAGGGGTTCACCTCGGACGAGGAACCGGCACTAGAAACACGTTCCCCGGAGGGATCACCCTCGTGTCTGCCTCAGACCGTTCCTATTGGTGGGACAATCAACCAGAGGAGCAGTGGCGCAGGAAGTGGCTGGGGGTCCTTGGCAGGCAACGCCCCCGGAGGAGACCGGGGAGAGACGGACATGGACGTGTTGGGGGAGGACCTTGGGCTCGAGCACGGCGGCAAAGAGATGGAAGCAGAGGAAATTGAGGTCGGCGAGAGCATCGGAGGACGAGCCGGACTTATCCGGCTGGATGCACGCCACGGGGACGAACTGTATCCGGCACTCACCCCCACAACGACGGAGCACCCAGTACCCACA